CTATGCTGGTGGTAGCATAGCTACTGGTAGGGCCTCCCTAGCCAGATTGGTCGAGGGGGAGAAGTCAGACTAAGACAGGTACCCTGGTCCTCCAGGTTGGGGGTTGGTCGCAAGGCTAACAACCTGACACCATAAAAAGGAAGATGTTTCGAAACCTCAATCAAAGCCTCAGACGGACCTAACAGAAGGATGGAATGGAAGAGAAGAATTGAGGCCATGGACCCAATACAGGCCGGACTGCCATAGAAGAAGAAGAACTATTTAAAACACTCCTCTTATTAATTTCCTCAATAAAAAAAAATGATATGTTGCTCGTCACTTTAAAACACTCCTCTTATTAATTTCCTTAATAAAAAAAAAAGGATGTGTTGCTCGTCATATCCATTACTAATGCCAATTTCTCAGACTAAGTAAAAGTGATTTATAGCATGGCTATGCATGAGAAGGATGTGGTTATGGACTATTTTAAGGTACTACCCTAGCTATTGCTAAGAACATGAAGAACATCAAATCATGAACTAAGATGTGTTATACTGATAAACACTTACAGGGAAGAATGTGAATCATGACAGAAAGTAAACATCATATTGAAATGCTGATTAATTACTAGTTTGTGTTTAAAAATTATGATAAAATAAGTATGTCTGTATGGGTATATGCAGAGAAATTTACATAGTTTCACCAACATTATGTTAATGACTGGTAATATTTGTGGTTTTCTGTACTAAAAATATTTTAAGCTCTTACATCAGAAATATACAAACACTGGGATATTATGTAAATAAAACATGTATTTCACTAGTTAGAAATATTACAAGAATGTCTTCACTAAAACATGCAAAAAGTTGCTTTAAAATTAAGAAATTATAGTGTTAAGTTTCTTCATAAACAGGCTTATTTCTCCCAGTTCAATTATTATTTATATTTTCTTCCTCTTTTTGATAGAAATCACCAGCATGAGAGATTAAAACCCACCATCTTGTTTCACAGATTTAAAATAAATATTTGTACAGTTCAATTATACATGCATGAAACAAAGGGCACTTTGCAGTTGATAGGTGGTATTATGATATTAACAGTAAAATAAATTTCTTCTGACCTCCATGGAATATCACTGTTACAAGCAAATTGGAAGAGATACTGGGAACTGTGCAGACATCAGGTGTAATTTGCAAAGTACGAGTAAATGACATTTGTTTGTAATAACCAAATATTCCCCTATCATTGCAAATATCTTTAGCAACCACACAATGAGTATGCTCTGACTCTCCAACCAAAAACTAGTTGCAATTAAATTATAGAGAATATTGGAACAAAGTAACTTCATATTATATCCAATTTACATGTTTATTACAGACAAACTAAAATAAATAAATCTCATTACAATGTAAACTCTCAAAATCTAATGATGGATATTAACTACAATATATCTATTCTATGATTTCAAGAATGGAGGTGTAGGCAGTTATGTAAAAGTTTACTGAATCATCTTGGTCTGAATTAAGCAACATTACTGAAAACATTTAACAGAAGCTGAACCATATGCATACTCTTATAGGCTGAATTCTTTTTCCATCCATTTTTGTATTGGATATATTGTAAATTTTGAAAAATATAAAATAATTGTAGTTAAGATTCATAAGTTTACTCATTCTTTCCACACACAAGCTCACATTTCTACATTTGTAGTGCAAAAATTAGGCATGCCCAGAGGTAAATCACAAGTCACGGGTAACCACAGTCAGCAAAGTGTTGTATTTATAAGAAAAACTTAATGACACTGAAACCCCTTAACTTTAGAGTACACTGCATTCATTGGCTATCTTTTTGTCATTTTTGAAGCTGTATAAAACAAATAAATATGTGATACAGATTTGATGGCAAGAACAAATTTTGTTACCAGGCTCTTGATGATGTTTGGAGATGTCCTTTACAACACACAAATAATAATCTCCATTTAGAAAAATGTAGTTTCACATCAGGATAGCCCAAGACTAAGAGATAAAGGCAAACATTTTTAGAATTTTTTTTTTTTGTAATTGGTTATCATACACAATTCAATATCCGTTACAAAAATGTGTGTGTCACCACTGGTACACAGTATAAGATCTTCCAAACAATTAATTCACTTTCTGATGGAATCACACCAAATCAATTTCATAACTTTACATAATGAAGTCCACGCAAGCCATTTCACCTTTATATTATTGGTTTTATTTGAGAATTCAAAAGGGCATTAAATCTACACAAATTACATTAAACTAACATTTCTACAATTAGAAATTTCAAGAAAGTTGTTGTAGGGAATGCACATAACAGTAAAATATTTTTTGAAGCTTATCATCAAGGAGAAAAACAGACATGGGAACAGAGCTCCAGGCACTCCAAGATCTCGACATTTCTCGGAAATACTTAGTCATTTTCACTGTCTTTTGCCCTTATCCCTGAGGAAAGCTTCTGTAATGATCTTTGGTTATGACGCCAGTCAACTCAAGTCACTTTAGATGTGGTGGTGAAGAGCAAATGCCCCACTGATCATCCAGTTCATAGCCAGTCATCTATTTGCTACATATTCTAGTTCTGCATAAGTGGATATCTTAAGAGGTAAGCTGGATTCAGATATTTAAGAAAAGCAACTTCATACTGAAATTCAGTCATCTCATGAAACGCCAACCTAACCACAATAATGTTCTAAAAGGGTGAAGCAACGTTTGTGACTTTTAAATTTCCTTTTCTTCCTAACTTCTTGGGGAAATATTTCTCTCCATCGGTTGCCTAACACTTCAAGTTTCTATCGAGCCATCAGCTAGTGGCACCTACAAGCTTTCAAATGCAGTGTGATGCAAACATCAGTCGTCTACACTATTGTCAACTACTGTGAGAGACACAGGAGCAGAAAACTACATTCCCACTGTCACTGTATAACATATTATCAAGTGTAAGATGTATTATTTTAAAATGTCATATTTCATCCTACTTTATAGGCTATCAAGTGTAAGATGTATTATTTTAAATGTCATATTTCATCCTACTCTATAGGTCAATGACTACACTTTATTTGTTTAAATTGTAGAAAAATATTTAATAAAACATGCTGAGGCAGTTATAAACTGCAGTCATCATATATAACTGTGGTTTTTAAATTTAAGTCATGAACCAACAAAATATGGATGAAGTATACACTGATATAAAACTTGTCACATTTATTGCAAAATTCCAGAAAATATGTATGGTATATCATACAAAAAGTGTAATGTATATTAAATGTATCAAACTTACTGGCTGCACAGGCACTCATCACTGCCAATAGTAAAGAATTATACAATCTATCCTCTTTCAGTGTTTTGTGACTGTATAAATCTCACAAATGTATCAACTCCTCATTCATTTCTCTGCAGTAGGTAGAGCCAGAATTAACAAAAGTTTACAAATACATTTTTCACAGTTATTAGATTAATATAGAAAGGTTCCATAATTCCAATATTAAAGATCTTCTGTAAACAATATGTCCCAATATGTAAATATAAAGAAAAAGTAAAACTGCACATTCCAAACGTGGTCACCAGACAGAGGTGAGTAATCAGTTGCATGTCCCAGTCACTTCAACATCGGGAAAGACCCTAGTACCCATCAGATAAGAGATGAGTGGGACCCACAACCAGTCTGGACATGGCCAGAAAGGGAAAACTCTCCCTCAGCCTGGAACTAAACCATAATTCACAGCTTCGGTAAGCAGGGAATATTTTTACAATTAAAGATGCTACAGTAAAGTTATGCTGTTGAGAACCACATCTCGCAAACATTACTAATTTATTCTTCTGGACAAAGAACTAGAATTTTCAGTGAATTTTGTACAACAGTGCGAATGCTTTCCATCCATGAAAAATCTCGTGTGACTGACAGTACAGGTCTCAACATTTGTGTCAATTTTATATGGGTTGATGGTATACACATTTATAAAACATGAAGTTCTATATACAGGTTTGGCAATTTTCTATGAACTAGCAAGAAAACTTGGCATGGCTTTATGTCTGATTTGAAGCAGACAATGTGCCTTTATTATGTTTTACTTCCCTGAAATGCAGTTCAAAAACAAAATTTGTCAAAGGATTAGAAACTTATGTTGTAAGAATACCACTATTATCATTATAAAACAACATGACATACTGCATGTATATGTGCTTCCCCCCATTTTCTTGTTAATTAGCAGATATATTTTGTCTCAATTTTTTGTGTCCCACATTTATAACACATCTAAGCTCCATACACTTCTGAAGATATTTCTTAAGTATCTAGAAGTGTTGTAGTGTTTCCCCATAGGATTTCACCTATCTGTTTCACTTAGGAGAGTGCCCATTGCATAACGCTGGTGTCACGACCTCCTGTAGAGATGAGTCGTGAGTCATCATGCAGGAATGACACATTAGTCACATGACTGCTGTGGCCTCCATATGTGTGACACAGTGACTGTAACAATTTTTAACAGCAAAGTTAAAAGTGTTATTTTATATCACTGTAAAACATGCAAACAGTTACATAGTTAACATTTCTGCTACATATTCAAAAGGCTGTGGGTTTGATTCTCATCCCAGAAGTCAGTTGTCCTTTCAATAGGTTTCCTCAGACATTTCAGGTAAACACACATTTGTCTTTTCCCACATTATCCCCAACTCAATGTTCTTTCTTAAATGAACTAAGAAACAACCATCACATATTAAACCGTACTCCTACTT